GACTCAGCTCACCAAAAGCTGCTCCCTTATATTGTGCCATCATATGACTATCGTATAAATGAGGCAGTCTTTGGAAGGGATTAACGGCAATCAATATACTCCCAGTGTAGGTCTGATAAAAGGTTAAGAAGAAAACAGCTTCAGTGATATTGGAGAAGAAGCTTGTATGTGAACCAAGGCGCCAAAATATTTTTGACGTACATATATTTCATTGATATCATATCTGGATTTTAAATTATGTAGAACTCCAGGTTCATGCAAATAAGCCAGCTTCGTCATATCGTCCACCCCACAGGCCGGGGCCTCGGCATCTTTCGGGTAGACATTGGATGAATTGACCACGACCTGAAAAATCAGTTTAAAATGTATCTTTACTCGAATTACCTCAAGTGATTTTATCAGTGGAAAAGAACCATTCAGCCCAACACCCCTCAGAAAAAAATTAAAAAAGAAAAAAAGAAATACCCAATACCGAATTACATAAGAACGAGAAAAGATGGAACTTTGATTTTCATCTTTCATTTTCCACGCTTGTTAAAAAAAAAAAATACGCCTTACAGTATAAAAACAAAACAAATAGCCTTGGAAGTTGGAATTTTATGGAATCAAACCTCAGGGTTTTTCTTTTACCAATTTCGTGACTCATGGGAAATCTATAAATATCCTAAACGTCAGGGAAGATTCTGATATTATAAATCAATAAAAATGAACAATGTTCTTATCTCAATGTGCAGGTGTAAAAAAACCCACGAGTAATTTGTAACCAGGAAATCATGAGAAATGATGACAGTCGTGGATACCAAACAAACACGCAGTCGCAAGCAAAAAAAGGAAAGGAAAGGAGAGAAAAGGATAGGACCATGGACCAGATAAAACTAAATGGCATATTCAAATAGTGATTAGGAAACTGACCGTTTTTCCTGATGTACAAAGAACCTTAATTTCTTCCCCATTGATGGATACAACCTCACCATCTATCCAGGCTTCATCAGGATCCTCCACCCAAACAAGGGATCCAACTCCCAATGCAAAGGCGACCTACAATCCTCAACAATTACATGGTCAATTTTCGCTACGCCATGAATTCCAATATCACTAGGGATAACACTAAGTCTTCACTATTCCAAAATGTTTTTTATACTGGCAATCAACATAATAATCTGACACCCGGGATGATGCTGTCTTTCAAAATGTCACTTCCCCAAAATCTGAACTTACATAACCACAAAGAAAATTCATTACTAGTGCAATACCGCCCACACCATCTATTAGTCAACTGAAGTCAAACCAGTAACAAAATCATAAGATTTTTGCGAGCACACGCAAACAACGAAACAAGATCACATTGAATTTGTTGAGTTCAATAGCTCAGATATCATACAATGGTAAGCATCAGGCAAAACATAACACCCATAACAAAAGAGGAACAATACACGGGAAAAAGAACCAGCCTTGATCGAGTGAACAACATATCAATTCACTTTCAAGAAAATAACAAACTTCCATTATATAATACTGCAGACTCCAAGAACAACCAAATGAATCCACATAACTCAATAAAAACCATTACCATTTTGTAAGACTCAAATCAGAGCCTCCACTCTCGCCTCGATCGGGTAACACTCCTCGATCGGGTAACACTCCACAGGACAATCAATTATTGGACCAAAACAAAAAATACAGACATAAACAAACAATAGCAGACAAGAAGCAGATCAGTCCACCACCGTTCTCCTACTTAAAATAATACAAATGAAAATCTTATTCCAAATCACTTGAATCCCAGAACTTTTTCTAACTAAAAAAAAAATCAAAATTACTGTAATCTAATGCACAGGTGCTCCACAAAAAATCAAGAAAATTTTCCCACGCGGAGGAACAAATGAATAATAATAATACAGAAATATATATTACTTTCAAAAGGCAAAGATCTGACTACTACAGGTATGAACTTTTTTCTTTTTTTTTTTCAACAAATTCACAGTGCCGAATTTTTTCAATTAAAAAAAAAGTGGAAAAAATCCGAGAGGTCTTTTGAGATGTAAATGAAGAAGAAGAGTGAATGAATTGAATGGAACTTTAAATGAAAAACCCCCCTTTTCATCAGTCTGCTAATAAGTAAACGGATGTTATAAATACTTTCCTTCAATTTTCTCTTGTGTTCGGTCGCACGTTGTTGAGGGTAGTTTGGTCTTTCTCCATAATAATGTAAGACATGACCACGGACCGGCACGGTTGCCGGTTCCGACAACCGGCACCGTGGCTTTACAGACCGTTTCCAGTTCTTTTTTTTCTTTTCCCTGTGGGCCGGGACCGGGACTGGTCCGAGACAGGGTCGGCCCTTGAGTTTTGGCTTGCCGATTAAAGGTCACTCATGGGAGGCCCGTCTGGCCGAGCCAGGTCACGATTCGTTGATTGACCGCCTGTAGTGTGTAATCGCGACAGTTAAAAAGTCAATAAAATTGAAATGGCGGTGAATTCAATTTATACCCTTTCAAGTCACCGATTATTAAAAAGAAGGGATCGACCCGTCAGCTCCTGTGAGAAAAAAACGCGGAAATATACGTCGTCGTGGGCTCCACCTTTTAGACGGTTGAGGGCTGTTGTCACAATTCACAACCATAGTTATGTATATATGTAGTCTAATTGTTTTTGCAAGCCAAAAAAATTTGCATTACAAAACATTATCTTTTTTCAATTTTATAGTTTAATCACTTTTTTTTTTTATTTTGATAATTAAAGATATAAATCTATTCATTTTTATAAATTGGAATACATTTAGTTTTGTGACTAAAAAACGGCATAGCTCAGCTCGATATTCTAAGAAAATTTCTTACTCATCCTCTTTTATTTCACCATGAAATGTCATTATACTTTTTTAATTTTCAATATTTCACCTAGTCTCGTTATCTCTTTGCACTTATGCAGACACTCGCTGCCAACGTCGATTACAATTTAGGCACAACGTCCTCTTTCAACTCGCTTTTATTCAGTCTTCTAATTATAAACAGTTGCTCGCGCACATATTTAGTCATTAAACCTAAAAGACGTGCATTTGATTTAGGCATTAATACCATGCCGACAGTCGAGATTTATGGACTAAGTCAATCTTCCGCCAAATCTAACAATTGGTAAGAAGATATATTTGAGGTCACGATGGCCATGGTTGGTGGTTTGAGACAATCTACGAGATTCTATAAATTGGTTGGTCGGGGGCAAGAGACAGGGCCACGAGGTTTGTGGCAGTTGGCTTCAAGTTCTGAGGCGGTGGATTTGATAGTGAGTTGAGGAGATGTGTACAATGTTGGTACGTGTGGGTCAGAGAGACAATCCTTTTAAGAACATATGTACTTGGCCGTTTTCATATTATATTTGATTATGATTATAGTATAACTATTAATTAATGTAGTTTATTAAGTAATTGTTCTCTTGAGTTAGTACTACCATTAACAAAGTGAGATGTTAATTGGTGAAGTATAACTCTTAAATTGTCTCAATCGATGATCATTAAAAAAAGAATATTAATGATATCCGACAGATTGACATATAGTCTACATCACATTCTTGGAGAATATAGTATCTCACAGTTATAAATAATAGTTTTTCGTTATGGAGACATAGATATACTTTAGAGAGTATTACCCTACCAAGAAATTATTTGTTTATGTGTTTATAGAAGTATCAATGTGTGGAATAGTGTAATAGTCATTTGACTTGAGGTCATTAAGCAATACATGTATAGAGTAATTTACTTAGACATAGTCCAAGCTTACGCTCATTATGGGGTAGATACGGGCTTGTGTTCGATTGATCACGATATACATGGAATTGGTTTTGTTGAGCCATGATTAATATTTATTCCTCGAATATATATTTTCTAAAGAGTATTCGTTTTTCTATACTAGGTTGATAAAGTCATTGGTCAATGCATATAATTGTATTGGAAATATTGTTTAAGTATGATTAGCTAAAGTCAACTATTAAGATGAGATAAAATGATTATGTTGTTTGGATAGATAAAAGTTTAAGTATTAACCTTAATTGAGTTATTCATGAATGAAGGGATCCAAATGCAATATAGGATGTTGATGTCTGAAAATGACCAACAATGTGTTCGAACTGTACACTAGAATGTGTACTCAGTTCGGTCTGCACGGACAGAATTTTATATGGTATTCATTCCGAGAGTGGACCGGATGGGTATCTTGTTCGTGACTTATAGAGTAATTAATGAGAGCATTTACTCATTGCATTTAATGTTGTCTCTTCTTCCTTTTATAGGAGATTTGAGGACGTGTTACAATCCTTTTAGGATTTTTGCTTTCTATTTATTTTTACAAGATATTCTGTGGATATTAGTCATTCCGAATTTAATGCTAATGTACCACATAATCCAATTTCAATATCAATGGTTTATCCAGGTCGTGACGCGTGTCTCAGCTTGTCAAGCACCATTAGATCGACGATTTCCATATCCCCTACATTTAATGCGCTTGGTACTGATGATTCTTAGTAATGATTAGGGATGATGCGCTCAACCCTTTGTCCGTCCGGTATTCCACTTTGCTTACCTGTGGGCAGTTCGGCTCGTCTTCTCTGCGAGGGCGATGACTCGCCACGTGTCCTTTGCACCCATCCGTCCGGTCTACACCCCCTACATAGGAGTTTCATAAGGATATGAAATTAGATTTATGTCAATACATTAATGCCTATAGGATCACACAATATGCACTCAGTTTTTCTAAATAAAAGTGAATCAAGAGTGTTAAGTTTTCAATTAGATTTGAATATTTATTTATGAGTAGTGAGATTATTTTCTATTTGATATAAAATATTACATTAAACTAAAATGGATTTCTACTTAATTAAATTATTAATTGGATTAGAATACATTTACCTATTGGGACATAGGGTCTTCCACGAACCATATTATTCGATTTGACCTAATTATAAATACCTTATTATCTCTCCATAGTCTTTAATCCCATTATGACATCTACGAATCAAAATAATGAAATCTATAGATTATGAGATTAAGACAACGAGAGATCGCTCTAGACATAACGCTCTCCGACTTTTTAGATTGAGGATTCCTAGCTTTTTCTACAGATCAATTTATTGGTGTTGGATTGTGCATCAGAGAAGTAGATTGTGTGGATACCGTAGTTGATTTCAAAGCATACTAACAATGGTATATTATATTTTAGTATTCACGGGACTTAGGGTCATATCGAATAGCTATAATCATGTATTCATTGTTGGGAAGAAAAAATTAAAGTTTTGTTGTGCGTGTGTTGGGTTCATACATTTATATTCCAACAGTAGTACCATAGCTCCAAGTCTATGTTCATTGCTATTGGCATTCGTGGATCACTATGTGTTATATCGCTTAGTTTAATTTTTATAACTAAAATTGTTATAATTAAATTGATTCCTCTAATAGTTGGAATTGGTTTTATTCGTACCAAACAAATTGGGTTTGTTATTTGGTTGAACACATCACTTGTTGTTTGTCAACCTTTGTCACTTGTTGCGCGTCTCGCTGCAAGTACTGGCATTTGGAGCCTCTGTGGGTGGTCATCGGGAATAGTCAGCCTAAGGGTTGTTAGGATCTATGAGGTACATCGTAATTGTACAAGTTACGAGTTTATCTATGGATAAATCTATGTACAACAAATCTATGATTTAGCGTAGAAAACTTACGGCTCAAAACTTTGAAAACTCTAAAAAGTTGTAGATTCCGTTGATGGAGATCGGTCGATTCTTCACTCGCCGGAAATCGCTTCATCGGAGTTGTCGGGACGTCGTAGGGTTGCGTGTGTTCGGTTGTGATGGAGCGGGTCTAATTATACCTTATAGAGTAGATCTTCAGTCGCGATCGGTGTCGAGCAGGTCGTAGGCCGGGAGTGGGTCACGGTGACATTGTGGGGCCGACGTGTGGGTGACAGCGAGTCGCTGGGACGGGACGCCTGGAGCGGGTCGCTGGGAGCATCAGGTCGCGTCAGGTCGCCGGTGGTCGAATACTAATCTGGTGGTGGTCGGGTGCTCGACATCCTTAGGATCTTCTATTGAATATTTCAACACCTCTAGAATTCCCTTGGTGGGAAGGAGGCTCTAGATCTCTCTTAAGTGTATAGAATTATATTATTATGTCTTATGACTTAAGGGAGGTGGTATATATATAGGCTTCAATAGGGATCACAACGAGGTATTAAATTAGGCTTACCATATTTGGCCAAGCCCACTTCGCTCAGATATGAATAATACAATCATTCCACTAAAGTAGTATAAGTGAAAACTCCCAATTTAATTCCTAAAATACGATTTGAGCTTTATTCTAAATTACTCAAATTACCTATGTATGCTTAAGATATAATGTCTTTTAATTAATTTAATTAGTGACAATCAAATTAATCAACTTCTTGAACCGAAGCTAGTGCCACTCAATACATTATTATTATGTCGGAACTTAATCTACCTACAGGGTTTAACATAATAATTCTTTTGAGTTCACTTCAGGGACATCATCAAACTTCAACTATATGAAATACATAATGACAGTAAATATTCTAA